TCATACACCTTGTTTCGAAACGATCTTTGCTTGATTTGTTAACTTTTAGTTGATAGCCATCTTCCACACATTTCATATACAAATCTATCTTCAAGTCTTCCTTTGTATCAAAACAATCATCTTTCTTGATACGAATAATTTTTGTGTAACAATCAACTGCTATCTTTACCAACTCTTCTTCCGGTATCTGAAGTAATTCTGGTATATTCCAGTTATACTCCCGTGGCATTTTCTTCGAGGACTTTTCTTCGGGGATTTCTTTTTTTCTTTTTCTTTTTCAGGGTTATATGAATTACAGAATGGATAACATGTTCATTTACAGTCGTAACTTCCTCCTCATTATCATCAACAACATCTTCCTCGGCAGCGGCTGTTTCATCATCAAAATTTGGGTATTGACCAATATCAAAATCATTACACGCAGGGTCTGTTTCTTCTTCTGAAACATCATCAAAATCTGAGTATTGACCAAGATCAATGTCCCGGTATTGACCAAGATCAAATTTCGAATACTGACTAGTACTCACAATTTTTTCTGTTGGCTCATCATCGTCTAACTGGTCAATACAAAAATCGGAATTTAGTGCTGAAAGTTGATTGGGATTTGGATTAGGGAAAGGTTTTGGGTTTTGAGATTGTGTTTGGTATTGGAAATGTGGTCAAACAAAATTTGCTTGGTGATGAAATTGTGGTGGAACCATTAAATTTTGAGCACCATAAACTCGGGTTGAAAAACTTAATTGATTACTACCTGCTACTGACCCAACTTCACTACTTCTAGGTTCAACAACATACAATGTAACATCATCTTGCGAAACACTAATGTAAGCAATGAATCGTTCAACATCTTCATTGTCGGTTAACAAATAAACTTTACATTTTCTCTGATAAGATAGGCTAAATCCACTTAGGGGCTCTAAATTCAATTTATTTGCAACACGTAACATTAGAGTTTCATAAGTTAACTTTTTTAATGACAGTTTTAGTTGAAGATTCATGGGTAAAGGCATATATTGTAAAACACCATGAACATTCTCCCATGACCCTCCAAAACACAAATCTATCCAAACATGATCAACATTAGATGATTTCATTATTGTAAATTAATTTACTAAACAAATGAGATGCGAAACTAAAACCTGTTGCCGGATGGGGAAGGATGTCGTTGGATATAGGATGTCGTTGGATATAGGAACGGATGTCGCCGGAGAGAGTGATAGATGGAGATGAAATGAGTTGCGATTTAGGGATTTAGGTTATGAGTTGTTGCTGCTGCGTAGTTATATACCCAAAACATTTGTGTTGCGAAACTAAAACCTGTTGCGAATTTGAAATTCAGTGTTGCGATAGTCAGAATCGTGTTGCGATAGTCAGAATCGCGTTGCGATTTACATATTCGCATTGCGATTTTCTAAAATCGCAACGCGATAGTTAAAATCGCGTTGTGAATCTGGAAACTTATTTGCGATACTGGAGATCGCGTTACGATTTTGTTGGTCATTTTGGCAAATCTAAAAAAAAGTTGGTCAAAATCATATATTATAAGGCATTTTCGGTCACTGAGGTTATTTTCTCAACAATAAATTATGAACTTAACTGCTATGTGATATTGGTTGAATTTAATGTCATATGAATTTGCCATGTGATAATGTCATTCTATTGAATTCGGATTATATGCTATGCATCAGGAAATTATGTACCATCTTTACATTTGGATCGGATCAGAATTTATATATGTATCTCATATTGCCTTGTCATACGGGGTTTGGATTGATAGGGAAGTTCAGTGTTTTCACCCGACGAGGTGAAAGTCAATTCGGATTCAATAACTTTTGCCTTTGTGGCGGACCTCACTTCTGATGGTGTTAGTAGTAAGAGTGGTTTTGAGGAACCTACTCTTTTGATGGTGTAAGGTGGTTGGGTGCATACTCATTGCATACCTTATCGGATTGTGTATATTTTGTTGAAACGGATTGTATGATAACTTGTGTTATATTAATTGTGACTGATGCACTATAGAAAGATACTAAGGGTGCGTTTGGTTCACGAAATATAATATTACCAGTGAGAATAGGATTACCTGCGGGAATAAGATTACTGGGAATGTTGTATTTTGTGTTTGGTTCGTTTAGCAGGAATGTAAGATTACAGTGTTTGGTTAAAAGAATAAAAGATTATTTGAATGTATATTTTATCAAATTGTCCTTATTATATATTTGTTTTTTTACAAGTTGAATTCTACTATAATTAATTTATATATTTTCTTTAAAATTTTTAAATTCATAAAATATATATATATATATATATTTTATAAAATTGAAAAGATAAATAGGTTTAATTAAAAGGTAAAATTTTATTTTAACCCCTCAACTTCATATAAAATTCTAATTATGGACTTTTTTGTAAATCTAAAATAGTTTAAGAATAAATTTATAATTTAACATTCGTAGAATTTTTTTTATTCAACGAGAGAAGAAGAATATTTTTGAAAAAAAATTAAGGCATTTTAGTCCAAAACACCGGTAATCCAACAATACCTAAGGGAAGGGGGTAATAACATTCCCGGTAATATACCCCCAAAATACCACTGTTGGGAATAAAGGATTACCGGAGGCTGGGAATGTTTGCCAACCAAACAGAAGAATGACATTCCATTCCCTTGGTAATGTGAGAAGACTTGAACCAAACACGGCCTAAGCTTATTAGCTTACACCCCCTAATTTCTCTCTCTCAGATTCTCGAATTTGGACAATCAGTACTTGGAGTTCAACATTATTTTGTTTTTATTTTAGTATCTTCTCAGTATGATATATATTCGATTTTTAGATATTGTCTCTTATTATTTTATAGTATGTTAAATACTTGAGATATTGGATTTAAACGTTATTTGGATTTTGAGACTTGAATTTTGGATTTTATTTGGATTTTGAGACTTGAATTTTGGATTTTATAAATGCTCGTACTATGTTTTAATATTTGTAAATTTATTTGGGTTGCTTTAAGTATTTGATTGCAATAAATACGAGGGTAATTTTAAATGTATTTTAAGTAACGTTTGGGGGTTCGAATTGTGAAAACAAGATGGTGGGCTTCTTAGATCCAACCTTTTCCCTTTAGGTCGGGTAAAAGGGGTCACATTTTGCAGTTTCATTGTTCCATTCTTTATTATTTTCCAGCAAAGAACTAGGTAGAAAAATTCATTGAGGCTTGCGGGTCAAAATGAAAAGAATGATGTGATCATGACTGGGTAAATTATACTTTCCTTGGGTAATAGAGAAAAAGACATTTTATTAGAAAAATGGCCTCTCTTTTTTTAAAAAAAAAAAGTAAATAAGATGTCTGCGAGCACATGGTGATCTTAGACTCCAATAGATAAACCAGAAAGTTTTAATTGAATTTTAGTGTTAATAGCGAGTTGGATTGCCCTTTTGTTTGTGTTCTTATCCTTTTGGCCCTCGAAACAACTGAAAGAAACCAAAAACATGGCTGAATTTAAGGGGACGGTATATAGAAATGCTAGATGCGAATACAAGCGTAGTGATTCCTTTACAATGGCTTGGAGATACACTAGCTTATTGATGTCCGATTCATTCACTAGTCTTCCCTTCCCAATCTGGGTGTCCAATTCCTCCTGAGCTTTCTCCAAAGCATAGCGGTTATTCAGCAATGTAACTGTCACGGTATCTGTGCCCCCTACAACCAAACTCTACAGAAAAAAATTATGTTATTTCCATTAAAACATGGTCGACACTAGCAATTGATGTTTTTATCTTCGTGTTTGTTGAAGAATTCTTACCAGGGCGGTTGCTTTAGTGACAGTATTAACATCATATCCTGAGAGATCCAATCCCTCTAACCATTCTTCCATGAAAAGAACTCCCTCATGGCCTTCCTGCATCGCCTTACCTTGACAGCCCCAAAAAACCTCTTGGCCGCAATCATCCGAAGAATCTCGTTCAGATTCAAGTCCCCCACCCATTTCTTCATATCAACCAAAACATGAGTTGACTCAACTTTTTTCTTGACCCATAGCTTGTACAGCTCTTTCACTGAGCTTTCCACTTCAGATGCTCTAATGTATTTCAAAAGCTCAAGTCTCCGGTTTGATAAAAGCTCCGAGGCTGTTAATTTGCGCATTTCACACCTGTATGCATTATAAGGGCAGAAACCATAGTTGGCATAGTTATGGCCCATGTGTTTCCTGCAAGTAAGTTTAGGCCGGGAAGACACTGCTACGTCATAGTAGGTAAATATTTCCTTGTCCAACTATTGACCACCACGGCAGGGTGCAAGCCGATCCGGATGGAAAATATTGGTCCATGCTTATCGGCTAAGTCAGCCAGTGCTAAGAATGGAAGCTTGGATCCTGCTAATACCTGGAGATGACCGATTAAAGGCCACCCACCGACAGCTTCTGGTGGGCTTTGAGCGTTCAAAGACTTTCTAGACCAAGTAATTACCAGGAAAAAAGAGAGGATCAGTATAGCAAAGACTCCTGCAATGTTACTGTTTAGGTAAGGGAAGAGGAAATCAAAATCCATAATAGCTTGGATATTCTTGGTTGAAAAAGGTTTTAGAACTAAGTTTGGCAAATATTTGGGGATCTGGGATATTTTAGATACCTTCGACAATGTTTCCGCTTATCAAAGTCAACCCATGACTAATGAGAAAAGAAACAACTTTATAAACTTATTTATTCAAAATACCACCACGAGGCACAAGTAGGCAATTATACATTTCGAGTATAGTCATTCTGGCTATCATTACAGAAGACAAAAAGCAAGATCGGAACTCAAACTAAAGTATTAAATCTAACAGAAACATATCATGACGTCAACTAAAAGATTCCATTTTAGATGTTTTTATTTTTCTTGAATCACATCGCTAATTATCATCGATGCTCATGTTATGATGGATAGACATTTGGTGTGAGACGCGGCTTAAGTAGAACGTCCAGTGGTGTGGCTTTTGGAATGGTTAAACCGGGGCTCTCAGTCATATCAACGGGTTGATTCAAAGGCTAGTGTGAGATGAAGAACTTGGAGAGCAAGTGATGCACCAGGGCATGAACGTCTTCCCGAGCCAAATGGAAGGAGTTCGAACTGTTGGCCTCTAACTTCAGTATCCGCATGGCTTGTGAGAAACCTTTCTGGTAAGAATTTAGATGGATCTGACCACACTCTTGAATCTCTTTGAATTTTCCACACATTTACAATCAAGCGAATGCTGGCTAGGATATGGTAGCCGGCAACGGTGCAATCGTTCATGGCTTCTCGTGGTCCTATTAGAGGACCAGCTGGATAAAGGCGTAGGGTTGCTTTGATGATGGCTTGAAGATACAAAAGATTTTTTATATCAGAGTCATCGACTGGCCTTTCTTGGCCTACATGGAACTCTAGTTCCACATGAGCCTTCCTTAACATGTCACGATTATTCAAAAGTAACGATTGATTCCTTACCAAACATGAATGCAGGAGCCTTTCCACTTTACCATTTCTCAATTTTCTGAGGCATACGATCATCTGTTCGTCACATATTACTCAAATTTTGGATGAAATCAACACTCCATATGCAGACATCAGCAAAGCAATGTCCACAGAAAAATAATATATCAAGGTTGATGACTAGCGGCTCGGAATACAGGCATGGTTTGGAGTCACAATTAAAACAATACTTGTAAATTCAGCAATGAAAGTAAAGAGTTAACATAACATGCTTTTTTTATGGTGAATTTTAGATTGTTATCTATACACGCACTTATTTGCTTTATGCAGGATTTCTTTTCCCAAATGAAATCAGATCAGAGCCGATTGATAATTCACATTAAGAATTGGATTTCTCATCTATATTAAACTGGTCCAATTAGTAAATATTAACTTGTTCATATCATCCGTCACTTGAATTTACACTGTAGACTTCCTTTCCTACATTATTCGGCATTGGTGGTGGTGAAAAACATGCCCCAATGTGATTATAAATACTTCATCTGGAGGCTGGATACAGAAAAATAAGTATTTATTATATAGTTATAATACCAAATATGGACCAGAAATCCACTGGAAAAAGATAACAATGATTAAATCAACAAGTTTTTTTTAATAATTTCCATGGGGACTGTATGTCTGGTACCAAAAGAATTGAAAACATTGGGAAAAGAGAAAAATGAGAAAAGCAGAGACAAGAGAAGAAGCTTCAAAGAAAGAAATGGAGCACAGGGTACAGAAGCATTCATTCTGACCCAAGGATCTTTCAATTGTAATGGTACCGCCTGGAAATTTCGTTGAGAACGACTAAAGAAAAGTTGAAGGAAGGATGAAGATTTTGTCAGGATTTTTCGATGTTGGTTGGAGTTGGGTGCTCCAGAAAAAATAACGCTGTCGTTTTCGACAGACACAATTTCCACGGAACAGACAACCATACAATCATTATCGATGAAAACAAGGACCAGTTCCCAATTTCCAACACTCTCCAAAGCTTTGAAAGGCCTAATGATGGCGAACAAGGCCCATAATAATTTTGATTTCCAGTTTTTGCTTCTTTCTTTTCTTTTGTTTAATGCAGAGGCATGGGTGGGCAGGAACTGAAGTCTTTGGGTAATAAAAGATTGATAGGGACCGTGCACCAGATATCCAAATGAAAAAGTACAAGATTTCGTTTTCGATTTCTTCACTGCACTTATGAAGCAAAGAGCGTGGGCAATTATACGACAACTAACAATGGATACCTTTGCTTTCTTCGTAATGGCTTTTCAGCAGTATCATATGCCCTCCGTTTATGACTCTCTCATATTTATAACAGTGATATAATTACTCCGATCCCTTTTACTGTTCTCCAAAATAATGTAATCTAACCTCTACTCACTATTATAGAGTAACTTTACAGGAAATTTGATCGACTTGAGATTGAGCCTCAATCAAATTGGATGTCCTTTTTTGCCGACATATGCTTGTAACTTTACATAAAACATATGCTCTGTATATTATTAATGTATATTCAACTTTCTTACTTTTTAGAATAATTCAAAATATATTAAAGATTTTTAGGGAAATGTAAGATTATTTATAAGAATAATATTATCAATATATAATATTACTTGATATATAATTAATAATGTTATATTATATATATATATATATATATATATAGTATCTTAAGAACAATATGATCTAAAATTTTAGTGATTGTTCATTTCCACTACTTTTATGAATAATTGACATTATTAGTAATAATTTAATGAAAAATACCCTAATTAAAATAATTACTCCAATCAAACACACCCCTAAGAAGTTGGATTTCAAGAATGGATTGAAGGAACCAGCCAAAGTTGGTGGTCCCATAAGGGTCTTCTCTGCAGATGTATAGTGCTGGAGTGGTAATTTATGAAACATCACTGCTCGTATAGTAATTTGAAGATGAAGAACACTCATGATTGACGACCACTCTGAAAAGTATGGGGTCCTCAAAGGATTATTATCTCTTTGGAATACTTAATTAATATAAAGGGTCGTTATTATTGTTTTCCAGAAGACGTGGAGTGGACCAATCTCTTATCACATCGTACGTTCAAGCTTCCAAGGCAGGGCCTGAGCGACATTAGTATTCAAATATTGGCTACAATCATATCAATGGTCATGGAAAGATGTAGGGGCCATTCCCAGCTCAATGTTTCAGAGAGGGCGCCGAGTGCGAAATTGATTGACATAAACTGTCTCAAATATATTAATTTCATTGACCCACTTGTTCACTGTTGGGGACCAAGTCTGCAGAACCCTAGCCCCACTATAGACCTTGCCCCGGAAATATCAAGATCGTTGCTGGTTTTAGAATTCTGGTTTTTCCTTTGTTTGTTTGCCACAATGCCATCAAAATTACATGGAACAAAGGCGATCCGACGACATTCACAAGGCTACAGACGTTTTCTTTTTCTTTTCCAGACAAAATTTAAACAACTTGGAACAAGATAGTTCATGCAGAACAGACATGCATTTCCACCCAAATTACAGGAAAAAAACATCGTACTAGCTGGTCCTGTGGCGTCTAACACTTGAGAAGAGCTAACTCATTTGAAGATTCAGCGTAGTCCATTTGCCAGCTTGGCCTTCCGAGGGTGAACTCTAGGTTAAGGAACATGTCTGAAGGTGACAAGTTGCCGGAATCTAATCTTTCCTTCATTCTGTCCGAGACTTGAAGCACTGCCTTGTCTCCATCAACCTATGGCAAAACCAAAAGTTAATCACGAGATTGATAATCAACACAATATAACAAATTGAACTATCGAATTTCAACACGTTGGGTTTTGTTTTTAGTCAAACAATTATACCTTTGCATTATTTGGCTCGAAAATCAAGCCGTGCCCATAGTTTGATATGCTCAAATTAAGTGTCTCCGTTGAGGATAGCCATGAACCGCTGCAAACAAGCAAGAAACACCAACAACAAAAAATTGTAAGAAAATCCAAAATATTGCACGCTTATATCAGTTTGTCGTACTTATATTATCATACTTCATATATAATCATGCCATTGATTCTACCCAATGATGTATAGCATGTGGAAAGTATGCAACTCCTTTCAAACATATATTATACTGAGAAATTGTTTGGGGAAGTCGACAAAACGAGGCAACAAACAGCAAAATATAATTAAAGTATTACTAGCTTAATAAATAAGTAGAAAGGTCATGGAAGTTTAGGCCTTTAGAAGAAATGGAGATTACTTCGAAATCTAACGGGCATTATTTTTAGAACTGGACCGGTTAGCGAACTGGTCATGCTACCGATTCACTGGTTCAACCGGTCGAACCGATCGGAAGAAACCGGTTGAACCGGATGACGTCACAATTATTTAAAAAATTAAATAAAATATCAAAAATATTTAATAAAAAATAATTTTTTATATCACAAGTCATATTCAAAGCAAGTCATAACATATATAAGTTAAAAACCATAAAATCAAGTGAAACAAAATGATTCAAATTAACTACAACATAATATTTAAGGTAAAATATATTAAATAATAAATATAATTATATAACTATAATTAAAAAATAAATTTGGGGTTAAAAAAATCATAATAAAATGATATTGTTTGGTTTAATTTTTTTTAAAAACAATCTCACATGGTTAAGAAACATAGAAGAGCATCCCAAAAGTCTAAAGAGTAAAAATATGAGAACAAAACAATCTCACATTGCTAAGAAACATAGAAGCGCATCACAACTAACTTCTATAAATAATAGAGGTAATTTGGCATTCAAAATCATGGAGCCTTTTGGTGAGCATTGAGTGAACTATTCTTTCATTTCAATCAAGCTCGAATTTTAGGCTTCAATCGAGCTTCTAATTTTTTTTTGAGTTCAAGTTTCAATATTATATTTTGAGTTTGAGTTGAACTTGATAATTTTTAGCTTATGAGTTTGAGTTGAGTTGAGCTTACTTTTAAAGTTTTCAAGTTCGAGTCGAGCTCAACAATACTCGAGTTCGACTTGGCTCGTTTAACAAACGACGTTGTTTGGTTTAATTTTTTTTTTAAAAAAAAACTAAAATCCTGATTTTTCCCGTTTTTTTCCGGTTTTCAGCCGGTCCGGTTCGAACGGTTTAGCGGTTCTGGCCGGTTCACGAATAATGGTTCAACCGGTTTAGATTGAACCGAACTAAGCAACGGTTCCCGATTGAACCGGCCAGTCCGGTTTTCAAAACAGAGCTAACGGGTAGAAATGGGTGGGATTTTTTTTTTTTTTGGAATGGAACACAAAATAGCTTAGCTAGCCTAAAAACCCTAAGTGATCTTCATCAAAATCTATGCACTTGTGACTAAATAAAATGGCCTCATCTGCCTCATAAACAGTGAAAAACACTTGGATCAAACCATGACCTAGAATATATGTGTATATGCGACTATGCATCATGTACGATGGCTTTGGTTTTGAGAAAATAGAGAAGATCAGCTTCGGATACAAAGAAACTAATAAAAAAGAAGCAGAAAGAGATGTTGCAGATATGATAGATCACCTTTGGGTCCTTTGTGGTACAGTTTGTGGTGGTGATGTTGTTGATAGTTTGAGAGAATAAGAAGCGTTAGGATCTGCCTTTGCAGAAGATGGTGTTCCGTCCAAATCAACAATTCCCATCCTTTGGTTCAAACTCATGTCTGTCTTCCCTTGGCCTGAAACACCCACCAAAATAATTCCTATTTTAGATTTTTAGGTACAGTCTAATAAATCCAAACGGTTCTGGTTTAGTTAGGAATAGTGGATCAGATGATATAACTTTCTGTCATACTTGGTCACAAATTTAGGTCTAAAACAAAGAGAAACTAATAATTGAAGCGGAATAAAAATTATAATGGTTCTTAGAGGGAAATTCCAATTACCAGCTGGTCCTTTGTCAGTGCTCTTCACTGTTCTATACATCTGCATGAACACAGAACACCCGTAGAGAAAAAAAATGAGAAAAAATTCCACATTGCTAAGATTACTACTCTTGATGCCTTTTTGTCCTTACCCTTTATTTCCCCAGTCCTCACCCACTACAGTTGAATCATACAGAAATACAAAAATAGAAAATTGTAAAGATGCCAAAACAACTATAGGAAAATCATAAAAGTAATAGTAAGAATTATCATATACTACATAAGTTCAAAGAAACGAAGATTGCACACAGTAACCCACCTGCAAGTGACTCTTCACATGAGCTAGGGTTAGATCTTTGACATTCATCAACTCTAAGACTGATTTTGGTGTTGCTCCTGTGACAGTTGACAATACAAATACGTAAACTTTGTTATGCTTTTTTTATTTCCAGTAAAGATTATTTCTATTTTTGGGTATTTTGCACTAAAACGAAAGGGAGGGAAAGTAAGTAAATATATTACTTTCATGGCCTCCAAGCAGCTGGACTGCATGAACAAAATGGGCATGGAGTGTTGTAGTCCATCTCATTCTGGGAGCTCTGACGCTTCTTTTCACAGTTCCATTGATCATTCTTGCATTTCTCTTGAAATCACGACCATAGATTTGAGGCTGATAAGGCTGCTGCTGCTGATGATCATGACGATTATTAAGGTTTCTTGGTTGCTGTAAATGGGGAGAACATAAATCTGCCATTTCAAACCCTAAGCTCAACGTCGGTGCTCCAAGGCCTGGATTACCGTATCCATTTTCATGGCTCAAATCGCTTCCGCTGCTCCCGGAATCAGTCGTCGAGCTCCTATCACTATAGATTAATTTTCCTGATAAAACATCGTAAGTCATTTCCTTAGCTTTACAATCTAAAACGGGCGGTGGGCTAATCTGCAAGGATAGATCAGGCAAAGGTGAGTTTATCATTATGGTTTTTGAGCTGATGAACATAAGGAAAGAGTGAAGATCGTAGTCAAAAATCCCCTGGAGGATGTGCTAACAGAGACAAGAGATTAAAATAGAGAGAATGAATGTAAGAGAAGCGTACGCAAAATACTGCCAAAACAAGAAAAAGGCAAAGAAAATCGACAGGAAAAGTGGGTTTAAAACTTCGAAGTTGAACAAACGAAGAGAGCCGAAAAGGAAGTGAAGGAAAGCGTTGTGTGATTATATCATGAGAGCCTCATGATTAAGTTGCATGGTGTGTTGATGTGTGTGTGTGTGAAACTTGAAAGAGGGAGCGAGTGAAGAGAAATATAGGCTTTTTAATAGGATCCGTCTAGGTTTGATAGAAAAAGGAAAAAACTTGCAGAAACTATAACCATTAAGCAGTCAGATTATACAAAAAAAGAAAGAATTGCAGGCGAAGAGAAAGTAAGTAATCAGAGTTGTTTTGGGGATGATGGTTTGAAGGAAAAGTTTGTAAAAAAGGAAACTCATGTATTTAAAGAAGCAGAGAAGGATCAGAGACCTTTTCTTCCTTGCACAGAGAAAGAGAAAGAGAAGGAGAAAGGGAAAGAGTGTGAAGGAAGGGACCTTATTTTCCTGTATCTTTTATAATGGGGGATTCAAAATGCCAGCAAGCCAGCCGGGAGCCAAAAAAACAAAATGGTTACTATTCAAACTTCACAATACCATTTTTTTCTCTACGTAAAAGGGTATAAATTAATTAAATAAATAAATAAACACATACTTTTTAATGTATTATATATTTGAAATGGAAGTTGGAGTCACATAATATTTATCTTCCTACTAATTTAATAATATCTTTAACACTTTCCCAGAATTAGAATATTCTTGGTTTTCATTTTCTTACACCAGGATTGAGTGGCAAAGCAGGAAGGGCCAAAAATATCTTATCCCCTTACCTCAAACTATGAAGCTGTTCTAAGTTATTACTAGCTCTTTTTTACAAGAAGACGAGGCCCTATTAAATGTTTACATTTTGGTTTTTCTTCCTCACTTTTCAAAGCTCACTGCCTAACACATGACGCTATGCTTTTATCTGTTTTTGTGATGTTGATAATTTAAGCACGAGCTTAATTGCATGCCATAAATACCAAAACACACTCACCCTTTCTTCTCATTCTTATCAAAAAACCACATTTGCGGTGGGTTTTATGATTAAAAATAGAAAACCAAGAAACTGTGAGTGCAAAACCCCAGCTCTTAGTTATTGATTAAACGGCCCACATTTGCCGAGTTTGGGTAAAAAGGGGAAAACGTTGAGGTCTTGTAAGTCAGTGAGTGGTGATGTTAGGTGGAGCGACAAAAGTGAAAGAATCGAAATATCAATTCTGATTTAGCTATGCGATTCAGTTTAGTTTGGGTTTTTTATTTTTTAGTCCAGTTTCTGTTCGATTTTAAAACACAATTATATAATTCGGTTCGATTCCGATTTTTAATATGAAAATTATTTGTTCCAAATCGAACTGATTTGAAAAATTAAAACAAAAATAATTATCTAAAACAATTTTATTTTGAATTTATTAAAGAAAAATATTAAAACATTTGTTTTATAAGTTTAAATTTATGTATTTGCACTCGATTTAATCTTTAAGTTTACTTTATTTGGATGATGAATTTGAAAAATAGTGAACAATCAAAAACTACAAAATTAAATTGAACTGAACCAAAAATCATGGTTTTAATTTGTTTGTTTCGATTTTAGTTTTAATTTTTTAGAAAACTGGAAAGTACGATTCAACTCGTATTTTAATAGAATTGAATCGAATACACCCAAGTGTTAGGGTCCCGGTGGGCACGTAGCGAAACAACAAATGAGCTGTACACGTGCGAAGAAGTTGGCGATAGAAAAATTTAAGAGTGGGGGAATGATAAGGAAGGTGTTATAAGGAGAGAAGGAATATGGAGCCTAATTAAAGGGAGGAGTTAGCGGTGTCAGATTGGTTGGGGTGACCGGCGACACCAGGGTCTCAGACCCACATGCAAACTCTTCCCTTGGCCCCCTCCCTATTTCAATTTCATCTATGTTTTGCTCTCTTATTTTCTCACGCGTCCACGCTTTTCTTTCTTTTCTTGGGTTTTTCCTTCCTTTAACCGCAGCCTTTAACTACAAGTAAAACAAAAAAATCAGTATCATTTAGGTGTTCTGCCACATTAATGGACTCGTTATAATCGTCAGATATATATTCTAAATAGCGAATAAATGTGTACAAACAACTATGCTGGGTATAATGGAGATATATGAAAATTATAGTGTAAAATGGGAGAAAAATGAGTCATAAATTTTTGAGGGGGAAAAAAAGAGGATTGTACTGTTTTTGAGATGGTCTTGGAGAAGATGATGGATGATTAAAAACAAAAACATGCAAGGAACAAGAATCGTGTACATAATTGGCAATTTCACATATTCCAAAAAAATTTGGCAAATTTGTACCTTAAATGCGATGAATTATACCATGAAATATATAGTTTTAATTTTGGCACCAAAACATTTTTAATTGTAGTGAGCTCATTGTTGATAGCATAAAAGAGACTGATCGTATTAAACTTAGTAATACTTATATAGATAAGAGGGATAGGATGAACATTAGGTTGTGTTCTGCGTGGGGACTGCCTTAATCGGGATGCTTTTGGTATGTTGTAGCAGCTTGACTGCTTTCATTTTACTTAATGGAATTCTTGAATTATCCAAAAAAAAAAAAACCCTTTGATGGCAAGGTCGAGAGCGCGTTGAAATGTAACACCCCGAAATCAAGGTCAATAGTTTGGGTCAATCCGAGATTCGTTTTGGAGCACAAAGGATTTATTAAAATAGCTTGGACTAAGTTTAGATGGAATTGGGTTGAGCTGGGCCCAAAAGGTTTATGAAAAAGTGATGATATTTTTTATGAGCTTGATAGTGTAGGGACCTAAAGTGTAGTTTAGCCAATTTTATTTGAAGATGAAAACTTCCCTCTTATTTTATAGTATGTTATGTGAACAACCCCCATAATATCTTACCCACTATTCTTCATTTTTCTCCCATTTTCTCCCATTCTTTTTTCCTTCTAAATTAAGAAGTTCTACTTCAATTCTAGTTTGGTTAAACCAAGGTAAGATTTTTAATCCTCAACCTTCTAGCTTCAATTCAAGCTCCATTTTGCAAGATTTTCACCATGATTTCAAAAATGGGTTTTGGGGAGGTTTGTTAGAAATCAAGGATTTTAGGTTGTTTTTGTTAGATTTCGATTATAAGAAGTGTTCTAATCCTTATTTCCATTACATAGTTAATTTATAAACTCCTATTTCTTATCCATTGATTAGTGAAAGAAGTGGATGAAAGCTTAAAGGCCAAGGGAAAGGAGAAAACACATTTTGAGTGAGTTGTGGGGTTTTACATTTAGCCAAGAAACTTGAGTTAACCACACTCACAATTCCTTCATACTAATTAGTGGTCAATAGAAGTAATGAATAACATGAAAGTTGTGAAATAAGCTTGATGATCATGTTCATAGTAGATGCTGTGATTTTATATTTTTAATATGTTTTAAAACTTTATTTATGACCCTTATTTCACATAAGATATTAAGAACAATTGGGAGCCTCATTATAGTAATGTAGGTGAATTTTAGAGTGAATTTCAATCCTAAGTAAGGCTTCTTCGAGAATTGATATCGGTACTTTAAGAACATTATCTATATTGTTCTTCAGGAAGTGTAAAAATTGGCTTAGTCTTAACAGGGGTATCGATACTCATTTCTTTCAAGGAGTATCGATACTTGGAAATTTTGAAAACATTAAAGCTAAAATTGGTATCGATACTCATGGAGTATCGATACCCAAGGTTAGAAGTATCGATACACCCCATAAGGGTATTGATATTGAGATTATTTCCAACATATCAAAGCCAAATCTGGTATCGATACCCTATATAGTATCGGTACCCTAGCTTGGAAGTATCGATACTATATGGTGAGTATCGATACTAACCTTTTTCAAAATAAGAGAAAATGGAGTAAAGTATTGATACTTAAGGCTAAGTATCGATACAAAAAGGGTTAATATCGATACTGAATGGTCATTATCGGTACCATCATACATTTTAAGATAAGGATTTTAAGGGTTTGGAATATGGAAATGAGGTTCCTAATAACTCTATAATTACTCTCAAATAAGACTATAAGTGTAAAAAAATAATGCTTAATCAAACGTAGAAATAAGATAAAATAGGAAATAAATAAGACTAGCCTTGTATGATGCTCGGGAAACAAGTCAGTACCCTTGTTCTTTTAGTTTAGGTTGTCGAAGTATAAAATCAATCTGAATATCCTTAGGTAGGGCACAAGTCCCTTAAAACTGACTAGCTAGGGAGCAAAGTCTGACACTCGCAAGGGATGGGTTAGTCAGGGGTGTGGTGTCCGATGCAGAGATTTCGGGGGCCACATCCTCGGTAGACTAGAGGGGTGTGTGACCTCCGAGATGCAGAAATCCCTCAGCCGCACTATGATGTCTACCATAGCGTAGAGAGAGAGTATCACAATGATAATCACTAATGTTTGATTTGGATATATTCAAAGAACTTTTACCAATTGTTAAAGCATGATTCTAACAATCCCTTTTAGTATGTTTTAGTTGTTAGTGTGGAATTGGGGTAGGTAGCTCAGTGTTTGGAATTTGTTTTCTTACGTAGATTCTTAGGTGGAGCACTTGAAGAAATTTTGTGCAGAGTAGATCCAGATTAGTTCTAGAGCAGAGTATGTCTCGAGTCCTTTAGTGGGCATATATACTCGAAATCCCTATTTTGTATACTTGAGTCATGCTTTTATTTGAATGATGGTCTGTATATTTTGTTACTATGTATGAGAGCTCCCGAACATAAATTGTTTTGTATAAATGGTGTTAAAGTTTATATTATTTTTATAATCGATTTTCTTATATTATGGTCATTTTAAATTAAGAAAAATGAGAGAAAATTTGGTTAGCCACTTCGATGGTTTTGTTTGGCACTGCATCGGTCGATTGTGTGTCGTACTGGTGTAGGGTGTTACATTTAGTGGTATCAAAGCGTCAGGTTTGATTTTTAGGACCTACGAGTCAGAGTCAGTAAAAGTTTATGAATATACATGCCTCTAGGGATGCTAAGAGTAATTCTTCTTCTGAAAATATATATAGTAATCCCTCTTATTGTTTAAATTTCAGAGTTTAGATATGGACGAAAGCCTAGGTCACAGTCAAGATGCTAGACATGGGAGTGGGACCTCCATTACAGATGATTCATGTTATGAGTTTGTCCCTGGTAAAGATGCAGAAGAGCTTAGGGATGCGGGGGTCGAGGAGGTAACTTTTTTAGATATTTGACGGAGACCCTTAGGCATATAGTTAGAGCTCTACATTGAGTGTATACTACCCCACTTGCCCAACCAACTCAGCCAACCCCACCTATAGTAGCATCTCATGAGACCCTGGTTGAAAGGCTCTGAAGATACTATACCACAAATTTTCTTCGGTATGGGAGACAACAATCCAGTAACTGCAGACCAATGGCATAGAGAGACTCTTTGGACTTTTTCCCAGATATACCT